GAGAGATGATGTAGTTTGATGATGACAAAGGCATGACAGAGAGAATGTACAAGGTCCTTTCCTTTCCGTCTCTTTAAGTCAATGTTCTTGAACATCTCCAGAAAGATCCAAAGGATGCATTGGTTATTGCTGTGACAACAAGGACCATTTTCAATTTGGAGAGAGAGCATGAAATCTTCTTGACAAAGGGCAAAGAGGAATATGTGAAACATCAGCAAGCAAATGAGAATATCCCCTTGGAGCAGGGAACAGCTTTCCCTTTCATTCAGGTAAAAAGAAATGGAGGGGGCGGGATTTCTTTTAGCAACACATTTGTATGATGTGCACATTTTAAGTTTTAAAGAGTGTCCTCATCCAGTACTCATGTACTAAATTAAAATATAGAGTAATGCTGATGGGACATTTATAATAGTAATCACAGGGAGTTTTTAGACCAGCAGTGATTCTGGCTTGATTGGAACTTTTATATCCATACATATGAAAATAATCAAGTTTTTGACCCGTGTTTGGTTTTTCCCTCTTTTGCCCAATAATTATATATCCATTTTTTCTAAGAAATAAGAACTCCAATTGTTAATTACCTAGGCGTTCTTTTTATGAAGAAGTTACAGAAGGTTTATGGGCATTTTGTAATAGTTGTATATTATTTGTAAACAAAAGTTCAGAGGTATCCACAAGGTATGATTTAAAAAAAAGTTAAATTGGTGATTTGCTCAATTTTTTATGCGGGCTGCACACATGTAACACATAGCAGTAGATGGGTATTTGATCTAACCATTGTGGCTGCAGTCTTGACATTTTTGACCACATTCTGCAAACATTCCCGCATGTATCCATCATCTCTTGCTGTTCAAGCTTTTTCCATCTTCAGAATTCACTCCAGATCATTAATCTGGACATACTGTATTGAATGTTGAACTTTCAAACAATTACAACTACATTTAAAATGACATTTTTGAAAAGTGTATCCATATATGGACATTAAAAGCTAACATTCAGAGAAACTTGTAATAATGCATGTCCCAAAGGTGCGTTTTCAAAAAGCAACTGGACTTTCTTTTGTTTTTTTTCCTTGAAGGTGTTTTGCTTCTCATCCAAGAAGCTTCTTCATGAATTGGATGAGAAACTTCTTGGTTGAGAAGTGAAACATCTTCAAGGACAAACAAAGAAAATCCAGTTGCCTTTTGAAAAAGCACCTTTGGGATAGCCATGATGTGGATGACTGAGAATCTCCATTTGTCCTTGTTTGTCGCGAAGTCATGTCCGACCCATTGTGATCCCATGGACAACGTTCCTTCAGGCCTTCCTGTCTTCTACCATCCTCCGGAGTCCATTTAAGCTCACGCCGACTGCTTCAGTGACTCCATCCAGTCACCTCATTCTCTGTCGTCCCCTTCTCCTTTTGCCCTCAATTGTACCCAGCATTAGGCTCTTCTCCAGTGAGTCCTTCCTTCTCATTAGGTGCCCAAAGTATTTTAGTTTCATCTTCAGGATCTGGCCTTCTAAAGAGCATCTCCATAGACATAGAGTAATGCATCTCTGCTTGCTCTTTTCAGGCAGTACAGTTTGTGAACAAGAAACTTCTTGAAAGAGACCCAGAAGAAAAGGGCCTCTTTGATGTCGTTGTTATCTCCAATAACAGTCCAGAGAGTGGAGTGCGAATAATCAATAGCGTGAAACAATATGGTAGGTTGCCTATTTGAGTTCGTCTCCCAAAGATGGGTGACTTTGAATCAGTTATTTTCTTTTAGTCTCACAGGACTGTTGTTGAAAAAAATAGGAGGGGTGCTATGTATGTATCTTGAGCTGCTGTGGTACGCAAACATAATTTTATAACTTCAATATCATCATATGAAGGAAAACACTGGGCTTGAGAATTAATTCTTCTGCCAACTCCATTTTTTATCAGTTATACACAGCCAAACAGCCCTCCTCTTCTTTCCCTATAAAGTTTCAAATGTGGTCTTGATCCATTTCAATCTCCATTAAGAAAAACCTCTGGAGGAGCCAACTAACCACTTCATAGTTTTTAATAGTTGGATTGCAAGAATGAGATTTCATGATATATCTTCTTACTGCTTCAACTTTTATTTGTATTCCTCCTTATTTGTTCCTGGATTTTAAGGTTTGGAAATCTCCAAGTTTTGCTTTGTCAGTGATGAAGATTCTACTCAATATTTGAAGAGCCACAATGTGAAACTTTTTCTCTCAGCTGACCCAAAAGATGTGTGCAATGCCCTTCAGAGAGGTTTGTCTTTCTTTTCTGTTCCTTCCCTTTTTATCCGAAATATTTATTTTTCTTATATTTTGTGGCCATCTCCCTGATTATGTCCTGAGATGAATATGCCTCCTCCGTTATAGCCTATCGCAAATTCTGCAAGGGCCCTCCTGAGAAAATCCTTCCAAGGATGTTCTTCCAAAATCATACCAACAAGAAACAATATCTCCTCTGTGTCGGCTTTTCAACTTTGACATTCTATTAATTACTTATATATCAGGTTATTTGTAGCATAAACATTGAGGGCATCAAGTAGTGTTAGATGCAATAAACCCCAGTTGGTGTCACTGTTCAGCGGTGCAGGTTTTTCTGAAGTTGATTGCTATCAGGGAAGTAAGTCTACTTTTCATTAAAAGGAATAGGTATTTTCTGTCATGCTCTTCGGGTATTTCAGTAGAACTATTAGAAGCACATTGAAAAACATTGATCTAGTAGTGTATTCTTCTCTAACTTGGTGTCCTGTTTGACCTGCAATCCTCTAGAATTTCCAACCAGTTCAGAATACTGAAAGTTGCATGTCTTGTACAAAGGGAAAAAAATAGATTTTGGTGCCAAGGAAGGCTCTCCTATGTCTCTTCACCTACTTCAGGGGTGTAGGTGGGTTGGATCCGGCCCGTAGTGTGGTCGGACCTGGCCTGTAGTGTGGTCGGATCTGGCCTGTCCTTGAAAATGTAAAGAGGCCGGCCTGCATCGCTTTGGCCCAGTCTACCCAGTGTGAAAGGGAAACATGCCAGCAGTTTGGGGAGTGGCCACGCCCACCCAGTCGGCCATGCCTAGTGAGTGGCATCAACCTGGCCACGCCCACCCAATTGGCCACACCCATCCAGTTGGCCATGCCTGGCTGGCCCCCCAAGGTCAACCACAACTCTGATGTGGTCCTCAATCAAATTGAGTTTGACACCCCTGACCTCCTCTATGGTGCCTCTTAAGAACTTTGATGACAAGAAAAGTTGTCAATCCTAACTTCTGAAGCACGATGATTTGATGGCTTCTCCTGAGGGGTCTCTGCAGCCATAAAGCATTTTTAACCATTTCTGTTGCATGCAAATAAATAATCCACATCATCTTCAGGAAATCAGTAATGATAAGTAATGACTTCTTAAATTGGGATCTGAGCCAAGATTTCCCTTCTGAACAGGCAAGGTAACAAGTCTATTTGTCATGCAGGAGTCTCAGCAGCCCTCATCTTTCAGCAGGAGATACAAGCTCCTAGAACCCAATTGCGAGTTGTCTTTGATGGTGATGCTGTACTCTTTTCGGATGAGACTGACCGTGTCTTTCATGAGAAAGGCCTTGAGGAGGCAGTGGAATATGAGAAAACTATGGAAACTGTACCCATGGGAGAGGTAAGATTGCTACATTCCTAGAAGATACCCCACCTTCTCTCTCTCTATTTCTTCTTGAGATAGACAATGTTTTCAAAGTTCACTATGAGAATCTGACCTTAGCATCATCTAGGCATGTTCTGTCACCAAGCCTGAACCCAAGTATCTTCCCACTGCTGTTACTGATCTTAATGGCTACCTCACTCCAGTTTTCCCATGTCTTCCCACCAGCTTGCCCACCCTGTGGTCTTTCCGGTGTATTCCTGCCATTGCTTCTAATCTTCATGTCAACTCATTCCTTCCATCTTCAACTGTATGTTTTACAACAATTGTAGAAATTGTGTTTTTCATACAATTTAGCAAAGGATGACAAAGGATGAGATATAACTTTAAAAAAAAATATAACTTTAAAAAATATAACTTTTAAAAAAATAACTTTTAAAAAATATAACTTTAAAAAATGTAACTTTAAAAAAATCCGGCCCATGGTGTGGTCGGACCTGGCCTGTACTGTGGTTGGATCTGGCCCGTGGGACCGTCCTTGCAAATGTAAGTTTAGCAGCTGGTTAATCCAAAGTGAGCTGTCTGCATAATACCTCTGCTTTACCTTCACAGGTATATTCAGTTCAAAGGCTAACTGATGATGGATTTGCTTTAATGCATCTATTTATGTCGACAAAGCAGCCCCTCTATATGTTAGTTACATAATGCATTAAAGTTTATGAAAATATGACTGAATTGAGATATGAAAATACCATACATTCTTTCTCCTTCCTGTCACCTTTTCCAGGGCCCCCTGAAAGCCTTTGCTTTGCATCTTGGGAAGATGCGTAAAAAGTTTGGTCAAGAGGACTCTCCCATCCGCATCTATCTGGTGACTGCCCGCAGTGGCCGTGATATGGGCACCCGGGCCATCAAAACCCTTCGGGAATGGGGACTGCCAACTGATGAAGCCTTCTTCATGGCTGGAGCTCCAAAAGGTCCTATCCTCTCCAAGATCCAGCCCCACATCTTTTTTGATGACAATTTTCACAATATCCAAGGCGCTCAAGATGTTGGCATACCCTCTGCATTGGTTCCTTATGGCTGCCAGAAGGGATCATAGGATCACAGTGTTCTATCAGTTAACAATATTTCTAACTAAAGGGATACAAAACAAACTTTTAAATGTACAGTGAGAGCAATGTTTAGAATAAATTACATTTATAGAAAATGGGAAGTGACTTTACCTGATCAGGGTAAAAGTTCTTATTGAAAAAAGGGGGAAATCAATGCTTAAAATGTAGCAAATTAGTTCCTTTCTTATTTTCCATTGATGACATTTGAAGATTCTATGTTATTACAACAAAAGGTCATTCCAAACAAAACACTCTTGACTTCTCTGCTGTTCAGGAACATAGAGAAAAGCTACTTGCATGGGACATACTTCGCTTTCCAAGTGAAACTACTGTAACCGTAAGAATTCCATTCAAACATTTCCGTGAAAAATTCCCACATGGTTGCTCCTGTGACACCAATTTGCTACAGGTCTTATAAAAAAATCATCTTTTCTCATTTTAGAGTGTTTTAATCCTTTCACATTGTTTGAACTGGATGCCCCTTTTCCAGGATTCTGTAGTCTTCCAGCTTCCTTCTTTCTATCAGTTTCCAGAAAGTAATCATTTAAGTTTGAGGTTTCTAAAAAAATCCTCTTCAGAATTTCACACTCAACTTTTTAAAATTCTTCCCTTCATGTGAATAGCAGGTAATTTTCAAAGATGTCATGTGAAATTATTTTCAAGGTGTTGCTAAAGACTGAAGTGGCCATTGCTTTGGGTAAAGGGAAACGATGGTCAAGGATCACAGAATAAAATGTCACCAATGTGATGGACATAGATCTCCAGGGGTTGGGGAGAGTTCTTTAGGGAGTTGCGGATGGGTAGTGATGATGGTTTCTGATAAACTAAACCCAAGCCAAGGTTTAAATATTCCCATTTTTCTGTCAATTCAGTAGTTTGCTGCCATAATCCAGTAGCTCAGTCTGGAAACTACTTTTGAAGAGCCCAGTGGTTAGAATGCAGTAATGCATGCTAACTCTGCCCATAGCCAGGAGTTTGATCCTGGCAGGGCTCAAGGTTGACTCAACCTTCCATCCTTCTGAGGTCGGTAAAATGAAATACCAGATTGTTGGAGCAATATGCTGACATTGTAAACTGCCCAGAGAATGCTATAAAGCATTATGAGGCAGTGTTTAAGTCTGAATGCTAATGCTGTTGCTATTACTCAGAAACAAGCATTTGTGAAAAGTTCAGTAGCTCGCTTCCTGATAACTATTCCAACCATTAAATTCTGATTTTGTAGATGCTGTATTGCAGGGATGTCAAACTCACGACAACACACTGTCACGTGACGTATCACAATTTTTCCCCCTTCGCTAAAATGGGGGTGGGCGTGGCTAGCATGTGGTGCATCTGGTCCGTGGGCCACAAGTTTGACATCCCTGCTGTATTGGCTTCTAGTGGACCTTAGAGTAAAATGTAAAAAGCCCTTCTCTAGCACTCTTTCTCATAATACATCCTATACATGTGCTGTATGTAGGCAAGATGTTTAATTCAAAAGGTTAAATATTGTGAATGAGTATAAATGCTTCCAAATTTCTTTAATAAATAGTTCATGCTAAATATCTGATGTGAAAAATGTATTTTCTGCCACTTATTTTGCAAGAACTTACTTAGGTTTTAACATGTAATGATTGTGTAATTGTAATGTACATATCGAGTTTAAAATAGCTATCAGTGAATCAACACTTCTATACTGAAATTATTTAATTGACAATGCGGAACATTTTTATATCAATATACTGTATATACTGATACTGTTATGAACTCTTCATAAGAGAATACTTTAATATATCTTTAATCAACTAAAACTAGTGCTTGCCAAAAAATATGTTGGAATGATGCTTACCTATTACAGGCAAGATAATTACTACAAGCAGAAGCATCAGAAGGTATAAGAATGAGGGGACATTCACTGTATTTGCTGGAAAGTAGTTAGGCATATTCTTTATAAGATTTACAAATAATGGTTTATGGTTTTATTCTATTAAAAATCATTAGAAGTTAGAAATAGTTTCTAGTGTAGAGATCTTCAGTCTTTAGAAACTTAAGATCCAGTTACGTTATCAAAAATCCAAGCCCTATCATGATAAAAGCCCAGGAATTTAATTTTTTTTATTTTGTGAAAAAGTTATTAATGTATTGACAGGAAATCTGAAATTATATTTATCATTTACTGCTATTTCAAGAATGAGGTTTCAATTATCAAGTGTTTCACAATAAACAAACAAATGCTCTTTAGCACAATGATTATTTGAAATACAATTAAATAACATTCCAAACATCTGTGGGGGTGAGATAAGGGGCAGTGTGTTCAAAAGGATTATATGTCCATTTTAAATGCTGTAATCATGGGCTTCTTCTGGAATTAGCATTTAACTAGCTGAAAGGACAACCAAGAGTCAGGATTAAGAAGAAAGCCAAAACGAGATCCAGGAAAATCAGTGGTACAATAATATGCCACCGCTGAAGGACACAGCCTTAACTTGCACAGGAAAGGTTTACATTCCATTCTGCCAGGAAAATCCTGTTAATAGTCTGAATTAACAAATATACTCTAGAAACTGGAAATGCTACATTTAAAAGCTGCCACCTGCAATTTTTTGGTTCACCATTCAAAGCAACTATGTAAAGCTCCTGCCACTGCTACCATTGTACAATTTAGTGAGATGTATGTTCCAGTCACTTGGAAGTTGTAATGACTATGATGCAAAAATTATCTCATATTTAATCTGCAGACTGCAATCTATAAAATGACCATGTGTGCCAAAATAAGTGCCTGTGTGACATTGAACATAGCCAGCAATTCGACACAGATCTCAGATTTAGAGTAAAAGCTTTTCCTGGATTGTGTAGCATATTAGAAAAAATGTATGTTAGTTAAGAAGCATAACATCTATTTCCTTAAGTGAAAATTGCTACCTAAGAATGTCATCTTTCTTTACATCAGTGAGTCTCACATATACAGAGAAAAGTGTTTTAACTCATGTTAGCAATTAAAAACTAAGAAGTAATCTAATAGTGGAACAGTAATTTGCTTCAAAAGTTTTTGCTGTATATAGGGATCTGCAACCTGCAGCTCTGGAGCCACATGCAGCTCTTTCAGCCCTCTGCTGAGGCTCCTTGTTGGCTAATCCCACCATTGGATGTCCCCTCCCTTCCCCATCACTTTCCGCCTGGCCTGAAAAGGTAAGGGTGGTGGTGGAGGATGGAGACTTGCTCCATATTCCAGAGCAGGAGGTGACAGGGTGGAAGTGAATGAGTTGAGTTGGCCACACCCACCCAGTCACACTGGTTGTTAAATTATTGGCTCCCAGTTTTTTCTGTGAGAAACGGGTCCAAATGGCTCTTTGAGTGTTTAAGGTTGCAGACTCCTGGTATATACTCTTTCCACAATTATCATTTCAGGTAGAACTTACATGTCACAGAAATTAGCATAACCTCGACTATATCTTAAAACATAATTTAGAATCATCATCACTTTCTTGATTTACAATGAACATTTCTTATTATAGATGTAACATACACACATGGTGTTAGCTTTGGAAGCCATATTAGCACCAGAAGCTTCCACACTGCCACATTCTTGAGCCTGGGAAAATGGGAAGGGGGAATTTCGTGGAGTGTATGTGGTTAGACATAATAGCATTCTTCTTTAAAGTCAAGGTCATGTTATTTCCGCACCTGGCTGAGGAGTGGTTGAGGGGATGTCTCAAGTTGGAACGATGGTGATTCGGGCATGTGATGCAATGAGGGGTGCAGGGGGTGGATTTGTAATTTTTTACTTATTGGAGGGAAACCCGGAACTTTCAGATTCAGGATTTCCCAGATGTGCCAGTTTACTACTCTAATAAAAGGAAACTTTGAGAACATGTCTGTCCCGGAGTTATTGATTGGAGTTGAGGTTTTCTGGAAACGCTGACACATGGATTGTAATCATGAAATGATTTATTTTTTTTCCCATCAGTGTTCAGCAGCTTTAGTCTGGGTCTTGAAGACTCAATTGCAAAAGTTAGGCGCACTCCATAGCAGCATGAAATTAACTTCTTTAAATAAGGAAATTGTACTCCCTAGGATTTCCTGACAGTGCTAATGGCAGACTCAAACATCTATGTAAATGGAAATTAAACAAGGTAGAAATGCTGGGCAGAAGCTAAGATCTTGCAGGCAAAAGGACTCGGTATGAAGTTCTTTAGTAGCATGATGGGTAAAGGGAAGCACTCACTCACAGCTCAGGTGACCTGTCACCCTGAGTAAGCAAGGTTGCTTAAGTGCAAAGGCAGGAGGAATAAACAGTCATGTGCATCAAGCAAGATTCATCAGCACATAGGCTGATGAATGACCAAGCAAAAAGTGGTGGAACATATCAGGGGAAAGGGGAAAGTTTGGGTTTTCTTTTTCTATTGGTCAGCAGAAATGTTGAGCAGCTTGCTTAATTTTATCATGTGAGGAGGAGGATCATAACTTGAGGGTAAAAAACATGCTTAATCACATCTGCCAAGAAAAGCCCAGCCAGTGACAATATTAGGTCCTTGCACTGGAGATCTTTTCTGTGGTTAAGTTCATACAACATGGTAAAACAAAACACTTTGCTGAGTTTCATAATACATTTTATTCAAACTGTTTTATGGTATAATATTCTAGTCAAACTGTTTTATGGCACCATATAATGAGATGGTTCGTGAAAAATGCTGAGGCAAAGGCTTAGGCACAAAGCCAGCTGCAGGACTATGGGCCACTTGCCATCTTTAAGTCCTAGGAAGAAGACAGTGGCAAACTACTTCCAAAAAACGTTTCCAAGAAAACCGCATGGACTTGTCCATGTAGTTGCCAGGTGACAAGAATGACTCAAAAGCACCAAAACAACAACCAAGAGTTAGTTCATACAACATGCTATGTCAATGGTGGCCTTTCAATATCATGATGAAATTGAACAATACAATCAAACCCCATTTTCACCAAGTCAAGTGGATTCCAGACAATGAAAACTAATTTCAAATGTGCATAATCAATCATATTTTTGTAACTTACTCCAAAAACATAGGACATCATATGAGTTTATATTTTTTACCCTCAAAACACTCTGTGGAATAGAGTGAGCAGAAAATATTGCCCAGTTTAAAGCTACCCAGAGATTATGACTTCATGGAGACTTCAGTCTAAATCTCCCAAAACGTGCTGCCTTCCAGATCATTTCTTAATTGCCAACCAGAATGGCTATTGGCTATACTTTACATACATATTAGTCAATTGACACAAATCAAGTTAGTAAGGATTATTGCACTACAAATTTCATATATGATGGAGTGTAGTTCCATGGTAGAAAATATGCTTTGTCTGCAAAGAGCTTTATGGGCAAGAGATGACTGATTTTGCGAGATGGGTGTGATGAGAGTAATAATCCAATACATCTCAAAGGCGCTGTGTTGCATTTGTAATGCTGGCTTCCTTGGTAGATCGTCACAATGTTTTGCAAAATGTTATTCCAGATTCACATCACAGTATTATTTACTAAGATGTTCCTCTAGAACTGTGAATTCTAAAACATGGTTTATGGCTTTGTGTGTTTGGTGAACCTAGTCAATTGTAGCGTATTCAATACATCATATTAAAAGTTTTGTCTTTCCTCAATTATTCCTGTTCAAAAACAAGTAGTTTAATGGCAGTTAGACACACACACACCCCTCCAATCAAAAACCTCCTGACAACTGGTCAAGGCAAAGAGTACAATTTGGCTTATGGAGAAATACTACTTTTCAGCCAAGTTACATTTTTAGTCAGCCGCCTAACTAGGCCAGGAAACTATCCAAACATAAGCAGCAGTGAACTGTTTTCCAAGCTCAAATAGAAATCCATAGCAGATGTTCTCAGTTCAGTTTGCCTGATCTGATGCAGAGAAACATGGAGATTGACTTCAGATAAATATTTAGAAGCCATTACAACAGCAAAAAGGGCAGCAGCATTCCTTAGCTCTAAAAAAGGAGCTTGTATTAGAAAGAGATTCAGGCTGACTCGCTGGGGTATAAGAGGGAGCAGATAAAAACACAAAACTATCAAAAAAAATGTGTTACTATAGCTTACTTCAATAAAGCTTTGTTCTAGATTTCTTATGGAGTCTGTTTTCTGGTCTGGACAACTCTGAAGGGTTGAACCTGACTGGCCTTGTTTTGAGGCACATCAGCTTGATCTCAGGGTTACTTCATGGGATATGAAGTTATTCCATACCAAGCAGAACTTTTTTCTTTGTTTACCTGGTTAGAGTTATTTTGTGCTTCCTGATTTTTCAATAAGGAAATTATCTTGCACTTCCTTCCATTTCACCACAGCCTCACTCTAAAAGCAACTCTTAAATGTTAATTGCATTGTAGAATGAAGCAACAGCTAGCATACAGTGAAGGGGAAAATAGCATTCATGGACGTTTAAAGTTGTATTCTAGAGGAATTAGGTGAACCTAGAACCTGGAATTCTTCCAAATCCATAAGGGCCACAATGTTCTAGTAAAAAGCCTGAACAAATGAGACAATGTTTTTCTTCATTTAAACTAATGGCAATTATGAACTAGATCCTTTTCACAAATTGAATCATTAATAGTTATGCCACAGTTGTCCTAAAGGCTTTGTGAAAGCAGCCTAAAGAAAATGATTAATGAAAGGGAACCAATTATTTATTTGCAATCCTTTTCTAACTGGCAAATTGAGATGCTTTTTAACCCCTCAATTCGCTTAGCCTGTTAATGAGCATTGAAAAGTTGCTTGTCTTTTTCAAATCCTGTAATCTTCCAAGCTTTTTTCCAATGAAGTTGCCAAGTTTCTTTTCATATTTCTTTTCAGGCTCTTTTGAGTGTGGGTCCTGTGCTCTTCCAGAATATCTCCCCCCAAACCACAGGATCTTTCCTCATGAGGTGATTGTAGGGTAACTCAACCTTAGTTGGATTAATTTATCAGGAGATAAGTCATATCTGCTGTCTGGGGAATAGAAAGCATAAGAACAACAGTGAGAGAGGGTTATCTCTCAGGCTTCAGCTTTTGAGCAGCCATCTGGCATTTGAATGGCCTCTGATGAAAGGCAAAATGCAGGACAGAGATGGACCTTGGCCTGATCCAGTAGGACTATTTCTAAGTTCTTATTGTACTTTTGTTGTGTTGCCATATAGTAACCCTACAATTTTTATTGCCACTACCGCTGCCATACAGTAGATGCTATGCCTTAGATATA